AAAAAAAAAAAAAAGGAAATGGTGTGAGGGATGGCGGGCAGCGATTGGGGGGGCGAGAAGAAGAAGAAGACGAAGAAGGGAAGAAGGAGGAGGGAAGCAGGGGGAGAAGAAGAAGAAGAAGAGGAGGAGGACGAGGAGGAGGAGGAGGAAGAAGAAGAAGAAGAAGGGCGGAGTATGGCGGGAAGAAGGATTGGGCGAGACGAAGTTGGGAGATATGGCCGTCGCGGGGGAAGGTCCAAAACGCGGCCCCACGTGGCACACGACACACACACAAAAAAAAAAAAGGAAATGGTGTGAGGGATGGCGGGCAGGGATGGGAGGGGCGAGAAGAAGAAGAAGAAAAAGGGAAGAAGAAGGGAAGAAGAAGAAGGGAAGGAAGGGGAGAAGAAGAAGAAGAAGAAGACGGGGCGACTAGAAGAAGAAGAAGGGAAGGAGGGGAAGAAGAAGAAGAAGAAGAAGTGAAGAAGAAGAAGGGCAGAAGGGAAGAAGAAGAAGCGAAGGAGGAGGAGGAGGAGGAGGAGGAGGAGGGGAAGAAGAAGAAGAAGAAGGAGCCGAAGAAGAAGTTGAAGCAGCGAAGGGGGAGAAGAAGTAGGAGACGGCTGGTGGAGGACGACGGGAAGGGGGGCTCAAAACGGGGCAAAGAAGAAGAAGAAGAAGAAGCGAAGTAGAAGCGAAGAAGAAGAAGAAGAAGAAGAAGAAGAAGAAGAAGAAGAAGATCTCTCTCTCTCTCTGTCTCTGTCTCTCTCTCTCTCTCTCTCTCTCTCTCTCTCTCTCTCTCTCTCTCTCTCTCTCTCTCTCTCCCCCCCCAAAACTAAGTCCCTTACCTTGTTGAGGCGGCCGTTGGGGGGCGACGGCGGGGTCATGCCGGCGGGGTCGTGTGTTGAAGTTGCGCGTCGTGCCGGCGGGGACACAGTGGTGCAAGGCAGGGAAGGGGGGACGTCGGGGCACACCTTCAGCATGGGGGAGGGAACGGGGGCCGGTAGTTCCCGTCCCCACCGATTTGACATCGGTGCCATCTGGGTCGTCGATCTTCGAGATCGACGATCCAGATGGGGCCCGATTTCAAATCGGTGAAATCGGGCTTGCCGGCCCCGTTTTTGTTTTTTTTCCGCGGTCCACA